AAGAAGATGATGTATAGATCTGTGTTCAATCTTGAATGTCCGACCTGCCTAAGTGCCTTTTAGACCACTAGCGGAGGTAAGAAAGCCGTAACACTAGTTGAGATCCGTAATATACAATCTTAAACCGACATGCAGATTCATTTTGGGTCTTAGTCCTCAATTGAACTTATGAATGTGAACACAACCCGCCAGGAATGGGTGACAAAATACATTTAACGAAGCTGCAAGCCTTCTTTGCTAAGTTACTGTCATTTGACTGAAACACTTTACGGGGTAGTTCGTATGCCCGATCTCGATTGTTGGCGGCAAAGTTTGCCTATTTATCAGCTAGCCTTCGCTGAAGGCTGTTCCATTAACTGCCACCTATGGTTACATTTGGTAGCCGGCGCACAGACTCCGTGCTCTCGGGGTTTCTGTCTTCTTGGTTGTTCATAGAAATAAGCGATAAAATCGAAACTTCTTGGTATCACGATGCAGCTATATAGACAGAGTAGAAACGGCATCCTCCATGGAATAGACGCTATTTCTGGCAGTTCTACCAGTTTTCAAAGTTAGTCATCGACCTGTGTAGTATTTGGGTTATCGCCAAATTGGTGTTTGTAAAATATCTGTTAAATTCATGAGGACGCCCCGGGCAGTCTAAGTGCTTTGAATAAAAGGAAAGAATGGACGTATTTGTTCACGGTAGCATGATAACAACCTTACCGGTATAAGCTTATCTTGTCCTATACGAGACACTCTTCAGGCTAAGGTCATCAAAAAGCTTCTGCTGAAGTGTTTAGAGCATTTGTAAGAGCCCATCTTAAGGACACTATGCCGTTGCCCTAAGTTGAATACCGTCGCACCACTAAAAGTGATGTAGAGGCGTTTAACTCAAAACCTGATCTGGCCTTGCCAGATATTTAGCCGGTTTTTAAATCCTAGCTATTCATTCTCCTTCCGCTTTATGAGAAAGAGCAGGGCCGTCCGTTTTTTTTATAAACGAGTTCGGTGAGGTTACTTCTGATCATAGTACTATCTGAAAAAAGTCAAAACGACCAACTTTGAAGACAATGTTCGGATTTTTCCGGTTGTGTTCAGTTCAGTTTATTTGAAGGAGAGATAGTGTGTACCTTTCAACTTCCTATTTGTTTGCATACACGTTGTGATATGAATGTTTTTTTAAATGCAGCATTAAATACAGCGGGGTGGGCCAAATCTGTCCAGATTAACGAAACGAAATATTCTTACAAAATCTTAGAACGAAGAAGCAACCATGTGCAATTCTTACTTCGGGTATAGTACCTCAGCTTATTCACGATGCCAAACGACATGAGCTAGGGAGGCAGAAAAAATAGCAGAAAGAACAGACAGTGAAAAACTCTCCTTAGGCACAGTATTGGGTAAAAGTCAAGAATGACCAACGTTGAAGATAATGTTCGGATTTTCCCTGAAGTGGTCCTCAAAATTCTCTGTAAATATACTTACAATAGTGCATAGAACACACCCAGCCTAAACATCTTTTCGTTGACAGTTTTGAAACAGTAATGCTCACCGATGTCGTAAGCGCGGAGCCATCAAACTGCTTTGTGGTTCCGTTTTATTATCGGAGCTCTGCGTTTGCGGACAAAAACAGTATCATATTGTTCAGAAACATAACACGATAAAAGCCGTTTCATTGTAGTGGCTCAAATATCTCTATATTTTGCTGAATGTTTCCTCCCATTTCGCTGCATTCCTGGAGCAGTGCGCGGATGCCTTTCCTTTTAATTCTTGTCTTTTTTCAGGATTATACTGGCTCCTTACAGCAGACTTTTAATTTTAGACTTAACTCCTTCCATTTACACAAGGATCTGTTTATGTATCAACAATGGTGCTGAGGCCGACTCTTCGGTTTCCCCTATCGAAATGCTTTGGGAGGTTGCTCAATCCGCTTATTCCGAGGTGCAACTTTTCCGAAAGCATATCAAAAGAGGAGTTCGCTGGTCGTCGATTACAATTTGTACATAAGTTGGCTGAATATTCTACCGGGACCCCATTTAACTCAACTAGACACTTAGTTATCGTCCCGGCTGCTGAAGTCCAATTCATGTCTCTTCATGTTCCTTATGCATTCCGTCAGGATTCCAATTTCCGGTATTTGACGGGCATTCTTGAACCCGGTGCTGTGCTCACACTAGAAGTCTCAGCTATTAACACTAAGTCTGATTTCAATGACAACATCGCCTTCGTCCCGCGCCTCTTTGTTGAGGAGCGCAATGACCACGATCGTGTTTGGGACGGTCCCACTATGGGCGTAGAGATGGCCTCTCAGCTCACTGGCATTCAGGATACCCAACCCCTCACCCATCTTTCGGAGTATTTGACGTCTGCCTTCTCCCAACTTCAAGCTTCGTCCGACTTTATCTGGTTTGGCTTACCCTTTCTTGTACGCAGAAAGGAGAAAGCCCCCATATATAGGACAATTTTCAACCAAACCTCCGAATTGTTTTCCAAGTGTTCGCTAGACCCGAAACAGCTTCAAGATCCTGAGCCCTTGTTGGATGAGTTGCGGCTCATAAAGTCCTCCAACGAAATTGCTCTAATGCGTCGTGCTGCTGAGGTGACATCCACTGCTCTTAAAAAGACTATGCGCGCAGCTTCCCCCGGAGTTGCAGAGGCTGAGCTCTGTACCCGTTTTGAGCACGAATCGCGAATGATGGGAAGCCGTCTGGGCTACCCG